TCAAATTTTCCAATATTACTTTTGCTATTGTTTAAAACAAAACATTTGCATCCAAACACTTTGAAATAAGATATGTTTGGCTTCCTACCTTTCAAAAGCTCATAAGATGTTAATTTCAAAATTGGTCTAATTAAAGTTCTATTTAGAACATAGCATGTTGTATTAATTGTATCTACCCAAAAATATTTTGGTAGAGTTGTTTCATTTAGCATTGTTCTAACTAACTCTTCTAAAGACCTATTTTTTCTTTCCACCACACCATTCATTTAATGTTCTAGCTAGCTCTGAGGCCAATTGTTAATAAAATGTTAATGACAGCAGGGCTACCTTGACATCATTCAAAAAGAGATTTCTTAGTTTATCTTCCCCCTTCATCAACAACTTGGTAAAATTGCCTAAGGACAAAAGGGCTTTAGAGAATAGGTGGATTTTTAGTGTGAAGCATGAGGCTAATTCTACATCCCATGTGTAGTCATATTAGTTATGTCAATCCCTTATGTGGGTTAAACTCATGTCTCATTAATGTTGTCTCTTCCTGGTGAATCTCCATCGAAAGACTCATCAGTGGTATAAGAGTCAATGGTTTGGGTGATGATGAGCCGTTTAAGAGTGATTCCTATATCAAAAGTCTTCCTAAATATGGGTCAGATAAACGTATCCCGTTATATTGAACAATAATACAAAGGTCGGTAATGAGCTTGGGAGATGTACCAATATAAAGAAACGCACTTGAAGAGAAAATTATTGAGAAATTAAGTGTAAGTTTAAGTCTTATATTAAATAAAAATAAGAAAGTTCATTAACATATAAAAAAGAAATATTCATAACTTAATGTCTCAAGGTTTTAGATTGAAAGTAATATTATGTTATTTTATATAGTCTCCTTAAAAACCTAATATAATATATATATATATATATATATATATATATATATATAATTTTAATTGTTGGTGAACTTTTATTTTATCTAAAACAATGTCTCTGCACCGTTTTTCTTTCATATAATTGTAAACTAATATATTTCACTTATTCGTACACCTTCCTAATTATTATTTCTTTTCTTTCTTAAAAAAATCATGAATAATATTTTAAAATTAAGACTTCCATATATAAAACTAGTAATTTAACGTGTTATTACGAGAAACAAGTTCAAATTATTTGATAAATAATTTTTATCAATATTTTTATTAATATATTCTATATATTTATATTATTTAATAATTTATTTTTAATATAGTTTTAATAAAACATAATTAAATCATTTTATATTTAAATTATTTATTAAATTATATATTTTAACTAATTATTTATATATGGATATAGAAATAATAAATTAAAAGAAAAAAAATTGAAGGTTGATTCCTTATTTTCTAAATTCGCATTTAACAAACACCAATTCCGCTTAGCGAACATATCAAATATTAACTAAATAACTTCATAAACATTTTGTTCTTTGAAAGATGAATTAGATCCTATTTCTATGAAATTGTCAAATAGATACTGATCTATAAATAAAAACTTATAAAATATCGATATTAATTAAAATGTAAAATAAAATATTATATATATAATTTTGTTATTTTACTTTTGCTTTAACTTATTATTTTACCGAATACTTTTAATTTAATATAGTTTTCAACGACTAATTATTATTTAACTACCAGCTGTTTTTTTTTTCATTTAAATTAGTTTTTCAGCTTTTTGAATTATTTATCAAAATTTGAAAGTTAATATATTCAGTTACTGGAGCACTACATTAATTTGTCGTGTCTTAAACAAAATTATTCTTGTTTTGCACAGATCTTGAAAACGTTAAAACCTACAATGTACTTTTTCTTAAAAAAGGAAAAGAAAAGAAAATATTAGAGACAATATTATACATTTGTAACTCAAACACACTTTTTATATTTTTTTTATAACTAAAATCGATATACTTTGTTGTATTATACTTGTTTTGCACATATAGTTCAAATCTCAGTGGCACTAATTTATATTTTTATAAATACATCTTATTAATAACTTATAAAATCTTTGGCATATTTTTATTAATTCTATAATCATTCATGTCTTATTATTTTTAAATGATAAAATGAGTCAGTACATTTTATTTTGATCTATTTCGTTTTTAGTTCATTAAAAATAAAATAAAGTGGACTGATTCGTTATAGTTAGGATAAACTTAAATATATCTCAGTCTGCTCCGCGGGTCGCCGAATCAACATATTAACCGTCAATAAACTTTTTTATAAAAAAATTGTACATGTATTTTTTTTAAAATATATATTTATAAAAAAATTGTATATGTATTTTTTTTTAAATATATCTTTAATTATATAGATAATATTTAAGTTTTATTTATTAATTAGTATTTTTATTAGATAAATAAAAAAATATTATATTGTATGTAATAAAATAATTAAATCTAATCAATAATTTTAACCGATTAATTTTTATAATTTAAATTATAATATTATAATATATTTATATATTTTCAATAACACAACACAAAAGAATATAATATATAAATATGTCTTTAAAGTGAGTCAAACCCGCAACAGGTTAGATGGAACGAGTAAAATGGATCAATTGACTAAAATTACTAATTCGTCCTCTATCTTTTAGGTAGACTGATAAGACATCCCCTCGAATTTAATCCGTTTTATAATCTCATAATTTTTATACGTTAAGAATGAAAATTTTATTTTGCTTTTTTTTTTTTATATATACAAGAAAAGGTGTAAGAATACGTGTGTTTATGTAAGAATACATCATTATCTCTAAAATTTCTTACGATGATTTATCAATTAATTTGCACAAATTTTAAGCCTGATCCCTTTACATATTACCAAAAAGTTCATTTTAAGGTATTCGGCAATGGGTTGTGCTTAGTGGGGGAAAAAGTGCTTGAGATTTTCTTATCTTCATTTTTTAAGTGATTATATCGGCTTTTTCATCAAAATAGTTAAAAATATTTAGATTCTATGAATAGAGTTTAAATGTTTTAAAATTTACCAAAAAGATTAAATGGTTACACGATTTTAAACAAAGAAAATGTAAAACAATTTTATAATAAAAGAACTAAAATCGTGTCTTTGGTTACGAATTTATTCGTAACTTTTTTTTATATATAAAACTAAAGTTGTATTTGTAGTTTTTTTTTAAATAATTAAATTATTTTTATTAAATAAATATATTATTCAAAAAGTAATGATTTATTTATTATTATATATTTATATTATAAAATGTTATATTAATTTTTTATTTTATTTATATCAATTATTATTTTATATAAATTTTGCATAAATAATAAAAATAAAAAAAGTATTTTAAATAAAAAATAAATATATTAATAAAATTATTTTTATATTAAAATAATGTTATATTATTTATTTATTTTAAAATTAATAATATATATTTTTACAGTTTTTCTACAATTAAATTAAGTTTTTTAGATAAATATATTAAAAAATTTACATTGAATTCGTTGGAGAAAACATGATTTTAATTCTTTATTACAAAATTATTTTACATTGCACGATTTCTTTAATTAAAATAGTGTAAGGTAACACAATTTAACCTTTTAGATAATTTTTAAAAATTTTGACCCATATCAATAAAATACATATAAATTTGACCCATTTTTGTGAAAAAGCCTATTATATCACACAAGAGCACGAACAAGGCCATTAACATAGCCAAATGTGTCATGTGACCGTAGTGCAAGTGATGATAAAAGTACGACAAAGAAGTTATTTTAAAGCAAAAATGCAAGAACATGATAACAAGGAAAATAGACTGAACTTGTGTGAATCTCATGCATGATGGATACATGAATAATTTAATACTCGTTACTTCCCATACAATTCCACGAGGAACAGGTGAACGAGAGATCAAAAAAGGTTTCAAACCTTTTTTTCTTTGTCTTGAAATTGGGTTTAGTATAACGCAATTCTAGAATCTAATCAAGATGTCATGGAAAGATCCCCATGTCTATTACTTCTTTAAATTTAAATCATTCGAACTTTGTTTTAAGTTCTGTTTATAAGGCTAAACATGTATTTTTTTGTTTAAGTTAGTGGATTGAAGAAGGAATGATCGAGTCATAAATTAATATTGTACACTAGGTTAGATCCAGTCCAACCAAATACGTACGCAGAATATTTATGAAAATATATAGTTGTAAAATTTATGAAAATATGATTCTTATACCTTGGAACAAATGCTTCCTTTCTTAAAAAAAATTATTGTTTAGAACAAGAACATGAATCCTGTAAGAGACCAAGAAAGCCTAAACCTTTGAAGTCCAAATTCCATATAATTCAATTTCCATGGGACTGAATTTGTGTGAATCACATGCATGGAAACATGAATAATTGAACTTTCGATACTTCCCATACAAATCCACAAGGGAGAGCTGAACGAGAGATCAAGAGAGATCTCAAACCTTTCTTTCTTTGTCTTCTCAATTTGAGTTTAATATAACTCAATTCTAGACTTAAATCTAAACGAGATATCAATGGAATGATTCACATGTCTCTTGGTTACTTAAATTTAGAACATTCGAACTTTTAGAAGTTCTATTTTTAAGGCTAAACATATATGTTCTGTTTGCCTTGTTGGATTGGTGAAGGAATGATTAATGCGGGTTATGAAAAACAATATATTTTTCAATTATTTCATTGTTTCGAACTCTCCAACAAAATCAGAGAAAGGAAGAATCCATATGAATTTCACGTAAGTTTACGTTCTGTCCATTTTGGAGGATAGGAGAGAAAGGATTTCTTTATATTAGCACAAGAAAATTCTCTACAAACTTTGGCATACCTTTATATTGTCAAAAATATTCAACAGTGCAAACGGCAGAATATTGAACATGTCATCATCTCTGTAACTCAATTCATATTTACATGCAAAAAGTTAACTAGGCCAACTAAAATCTTAACAGCAAGTTGAATATTGTAGTTAATTTGAGGGAAAAATCATGCTATCCAATGTTAAATTCAGTCCTCCTTTCCCCGGTGAATGTCAACTAGGTATCTATTTAGATGCTGGCCAAATGACTTCGTAGAGAATGACTCAACAACATGCTTCCTAGCTTCTCTGCCCATTTTCTCTGCCACCTGAGGATAACTTATAATCTTAGCCATTGCTGAAGAAAAATCTTGTGGTGTAGGATCACAAAGGAATCCTGTTACACCATTCTTAATTGACTCCACAGGGCCACCACTATTGCAAGCGATAACAGGTTTATATGCTGCCATTGCCTCCAGAGGAACTATGCCAAAGTGCTCATCCTGTATCCAAGATCTTTATGTAAAGCTCACTTTCTTCATTCAGTTTTTACCAGTTGTAATGAATTGTAATTTGCATACCTTTGGTGTGTAAAGAACACACAAGCATTCTGAAAGAAGTGCATTTCTTTCATCTGTAGGGCAAGAGGTGATGAATCTTATTTTACTAGAGACTCCTTCCTTTTCTGCTAAATCTTTAAGCTCTTCTAAGTACTCCACATTCTCCTTCAACCGTTTGTCAAAGCCACCTAGCACAAATTATGACAATTGGGTTGTTACGCAAATTTCATGTGCACAAATGCTTTAAAGTGAAATGCACGAGTCAAAGTATGGTTTGTTCAAACTTAAGAGTCAGCAGTTCAACCAAGAAAATACATTTAAAACTAAAGAAGAATGCATAAGAAGGCCCAACCCACCAAGCAGGTGGAATTCGATAAATTTTTTGCATGCAACTTTTCCAAGTCCAATCAAATTTTACACTATTTTAGTTTTTAGACTAATGAGTGGACAGGTACAAAAGCCTACACTCGTAGTGATAAATTCTGATAATATTCAAAGATCCAAATAAAAAATCATCAGCTTAATACAAGGTAGATGTTCCTTGATATTGATCCTTCAGTGAAACAGCCCAAACTTGAACAACATAGTACTTGGTTCTTTGCACTTAACGATCATGTTTATCAGCAAATACCATAGATCACATCCAGACAGCTTAGCAAAGAGTGTTCTAATCATATTATTAGCAGATATTAAATTCCTTTCAACAAGATTTGTCATTGTTTGCTGCTAAAGAATTGTACAAATCCACTTCATTGTCAGACTCAGATAAATAAATTTGTGCCTAAAAGGCTGGCTCCATGTTATATCTCATAAAAAAAAAAAAAAAAAAATTCTCTGTAATATTAAATGTTATTCTTATTCACTATCCAAGAGAAGTGTTCGTGACTTACAGTGATAACCAAACCATATGAACATATTAGCAGAAGTCCTAAATTTCCTCGCCTAAAACAATATGAAGATCTAATTCTTAAACAGACAAGGTTTGTAACCTAGTCATAACTACGCATTCCACCTCTCATTTGATGGCAACGAAGTTACATCAAATGAAGATCTAATTCTTTAATGAACTTTCTGTCACCACATAATGGTTAATAAATACTCATTTTTAGTTAAGTAATTAGAATAGAAAATAAGCACGCAGTTCCACAACAAATATGAAAAGGTTCAATTAGTAACATTTACAAACCCAGACAATACACCTGTTTGAGAATGGTTGCATCACAAGGTCGCTCTATATCATTTACACACAAACTGCAAGATTGGGCAGATTCAGCTGAACAACAAAGTCCCTTGAAATAATAGAGAACAAAAGAGTTTTGAATCTTAACTACAAACAAAACATAATTTTCATTTAAAATAATATTTTATATCTTGAAAGACACCACCATACCAAATTCCAGTATGAGGCACATACATCAGAACAGATACTCCCATCCCATGACAATTATTAATGCGCATAACATCACCATAACATCTATCATCAGAAACACACATCCGTAAACAAAACATGCTCACCTGCAATAGTCAAAGAAGCATTAGTAATATCTTTATGCTTAGATATTCCTTCCAGCGAGTGAAGCATAGCAAAAGCTGAAATAGCTAATTGTATGTTCTTCTTCCTTTCAAAGCGATTGATGGAAAGGAAATTCAGCCTACAAAAGAAGAAACAATCCAAATTAAGACTATGATTCTATTCAATACATAAAGTTCATAAAATGGGATATAAGAATAAGCTACATGCATAATCTTGTAAAGTGTCAACCATATATATCTACAAACATGTCATTTACTTAAAGGTACTGGGTTCATTGAACTGAGCTACATTGACAGCTGGATATAGAACAGCTGGTCGAATTCCGTTAGCATGTAGAGACTTAAAAGTATTTGCAAAAGTAGAGGCCGTGAAGTTGCTGTTAACAAGTATCAAATCAGCCATTCCTGCAATTCAGCAAAGGTAAATACGATGCGTGATTCAACATGTACATCAGAAAAGATAATCAAAGGAAGAAAACAAAAAAGTAATAAAGCAAGGATATTAAGTCAAACCAGTTGTTATTTCTTCTACATAGTCTATTGGTTTTCTATACATCCTCCTAATGAAAGTTGAACGTTGAGCCAGTAACAAGTCCGGAAAATGACAGTAGAATACAACCTACCAAGGAAAATAAAACAACTAAGAATTGAAGATGTCAAAACAATCGACATATGATTTCTTTTTACTCCATCTTGGCTACCTTTATTGACCTTTTAAGTTTCAAGATAGGAATAACTACAGAGACTTGATCTGCCAGTATAACATCAAATGAATGCCACATGAAAAGTACACAGAAAGCGACAAATAGGCACCGAAGGTATGCACACAATGCATGAAGACGGTAGAACACATGACGAGGAAGAAAGGAACCATACACAGTAACTGGAAAGGTCCCTGAAAAATCACAAGTCAAAAACCATATGTCAATGGCAATGCTATTTCTTAATAAAGAACAGAAATGGGAGACACTCCTGCCTTATTTGCACTTTTCCTTTCCCTACTATAGTCAAAATTTAATTTTAGTCTTTGTGCAGATTTTATCTTGCACTCCTTACACTGTTACATTAGCATTTCTGTTAAAATTAGATGCAAAGATAACAGAAGGCACAAATAAAACTGCAATTAAGCCCACACAAATAGAGAGACTAACCAGTAACAGTTTCTTCAAAGCATCTATTTCTGTCATGATGTGCAGTAAAAACATGAACTTCATGGCCCTGGGATGCAAGTTCAACAGCGGCATCCACAATCAATCTCTCAGCTCCACCTTCAAAAACAATCACGAGGTAAATAATTGGAAATCAACTACAGGGAAGACAATAGCATGGTATTGTTTCATGAAACCAAAATTTTAATTGAGAAAAGTGATATTAATGGCAATTTCACAAAAAATGTTGGTTTTAATTTGACTGGACTGGAAAGCAATGGGGAACAGTGAATATTCACCTATGCCAAGATCCGGGTGAATTATTGCGATACTCAGTTTTGTGCTTGCTCCCTTTGCCATGGTTGAAAGTAAAAATTGGAACTTTGTAGATAACAAACTCAGGAATTGTTCGCCGACGACTGTGGCGGTGTAATCCGAGCGGTGCAGGACTTCTAACCCTTGCTTCGAACTGGGAAGTAGACGTCGTCGTTTAGGTCTGTTTAATAAAAACAGGTCAACTAGGAATTGCATACTATTTTGTAGGATGGCAAAACGGGTCAACCCGCCTGTTCTTTGATCCGCTAAAAGTAGGACGGGCTGGGTTGGCCCGATATAGTCATGACGGGATGTAAATTTTGGCCCGCCTGCCAAGGGACAGGTTGGCGGATTGGTGGTCTAGCCACTATAATTTAGAAAAAAATATTTTTTTTTAAATAATTTTTTTAATAAATTTAATAATAAAATTATTATTTATTTGTCAATAATTCAATATATATATATATATATTATTTCAATTTAATAATATAAATAAATACATTATTTTAAGAAATTATAATTTAGAACAACAAAAAATTTACATAATAATAAATAATAACAAAAAAAATATATATATATATATATATATATATATATATATATATAACGTTAAACTTATAAAATTTATATTTTTTATATTGAAAAATTCAAATACCTATATCTTTTTTATTTGATAAAACTTCATATTATTCTTGGTTGAGTAATTCTTCCACCATTAATTCAAGTAATAAGGATAAAAATAATCAGTGCTTAGGATAAACAAGGAGAATAAGAGAGAAGGTTATGTTTCGGGAAGGAGAATATTTTCTCGTGAGAATAAAACTTTTTTAATTCTCTTTTTAAAATTTTTAACTTTATATATTATCTTTATAATTAATTTTATTACAATAAAAAATTATTTTTTACTAATTAGGCGGGCCACGGGCTAGCCCGCCCGTCCCGCAGTGTTGGCCCGACGGGTTGGCGAGCTTAGCGGGCGGGTCAAAGCAGGTCGGTGGGCTGAAAACACCAACCCGCCCGCCATATTATGGCGGACGGCCGCACGGACCTAGCTCGTTTTGCCATCCCTACTATTTTGTGTCAGCCACCTCAAATGAATATGGTTTAAAAGACAAATGAAATGAAACGAAATTAAATTTGTTTATTTCAAAAGCCACTATTTGGATGAAATATTTTATTAGTTTTAATTCAAATACATTATATTTACATTTGAATTGTTTCTAATTAAATTACTTTTTTAAAAATATTTATTTAAATAAAATAATTCAAATATCTTATATTTAATTTCACATAAAATAATTGATTTTTCCTAAACTAAGATTTATTTTAAAATATTAAATTTTAATATTAAACTTTATAAAAAAATATTATTCAATTTTAAGTATTTAAATAACACTTAATAATTAAACTTTTTAATATTGGATAAAATTTAATGTTATAAGTATATGAATATTTTTTTTCAACCACTTTTATAGAATAGATATAAATAGATGCATGCATAAATATTTTAGGAATGAAGAGTAAGATTAGTTTTTATAATAGAGTCATTAGATTGGTGTCTCTCAAACTAGTATAACATACCATCAATTATTCTTTTATATATATATATATATATATATATATATATATATATATATATATATATATAAATGATGTAATATTTTTTAAATTTACCAGTAAAAATTAAATACAAAATAAAAATTTGTATTTTAATAAGTCAAACAGAACGTCCAAATGAAAAGAAAAAAAAATTCGTGCTTGATAATATTATGTCGTGTTTGATAATATAATTCTAGTTATTGTCTTTAGGTAAAAGTTACACTACCTAGTTATATAGAAGTTGAATTATATAATACAACTTTTATTTTTAATAATTTATTTTTCTTTTTATAAATAAATAAAAACATAATAATAATTTTATATTATTAATATAATTAATCATAATAATTATAATTATTTTTTAATAAAATAAATAATAATGATTAAATTATATTATTTATATAATTCTTAATTTTTTATTTTATTTTATTATATTATTATTATAATTCATAATTAAAAATAAAAAATACTTTTGCTTTTATTGAAATAGTATTAATAATATGATTAAATTAATAATAATAATAATAATAATAATAATAATAATTGCAATAATTATAATAATAAAAATTATTAATCCTTTTATTATGAATAATAATAATAATATTGATAATAAATATTAATAATATAAAAAACACTATTATTTTTGTTAATAATAATAATAAACTATTAAAAAATTATTAATAAAATTATATTTAATAAATGATTAAATCAATAAATTTATATTATTTTATTATTATTAATAAAAATAATAATAGTTTTGAAATTATTAATATTTATTATCAACATTATTATTATAATTATTATAATAAGTATTATTACTATTATTAATTTAATCTTATTAATAAAATTATATTATTATTATTATGAATAATAAATATATATATATATATATATATAATAATAGGTTAATAATTATTATTAATTATAATTATTATTCATTTTATTAAAAATAAAGTTATTATTATTATTTATAATAAAGTTAAAAATAATTATTATTTTTATTATTCTAATAAGTATTATTATTATTAATTTAATCTTATTAATAAATTATATAATGATAAGTTAACAATCCCTACTAAAAATTCTTATATTTCATGAAAATATTGTTGTAATTTTTTTTTAAATTGTAAAAGATACATTTTCTACAAATTTAAATAAAATTTTACAAGAAAATTTGCTGAAAATAACTTAAAAGAATAGTGAATTAGTATTAATTATATAAATAATATAATATAACTATTATTATTCATTTTATTAAAATAAAAATAACAATAATAACAATTATTATTATTATAACATATTAATATTATAAAAATATTATTATTTTATATTTTATTTATTATATTAATGAAAAATTATTAAAAAATATAATTAGAACTTCTATATAAATTAAATATATAAAAATCGTATTATATAGAAGTTATATTACATAATTTTTTCCTAAAATAATATAAAACTAACTAAAATCATATCATCAACACTTTTTTTATTTTGAAATGTTTGATAATATAATTTACTTAAATATATATATATATATATATATATATATATTTATTTTTTTAATTTATCTATTTCAATAAAAAAATTTAAAAGAATTACATCATTTTCCTACAAAATCTAAATGAAGAGTATATAATGGATATACAACAAGCTTCTATCTATCTTATACAACCCCAACTGATACACATGAATTTGTTTTAAATACATTAATCTCAATATAAATAAATAAAAATAAATATTACCTTACTAAGTAAAAAAATAATTTATTAAATTTTAAGAGTTAAATACAAAATAAATATAATTTAAATTCACAAAATTAGACAATAAAAAATAATAAATTGATTTATTATGAGACTTAAATTACATAATTGATCTGATTTATGAAATTTTAATTATTTAGAAAAAAGAAGACAAAGTAAAAAAAAAAGTATTTGAGAAAGTAAGAAATGTGATTTCAAATTATTTATTTACTTTTTATATTTTTAAAAATTTCTATTTGAATTACTTTTTAAAAATGATGAGATTTTTATTTTTTTATATAAAAAAATCTACTCGAAGGAAATTAAAATGTCTCAAATAAATGATTTTCATTTCGTCAGAAAATATCTGATAGATTTGTTCTTACAGCATATATAACATTTTTTCTAGTTTTATGGATATTGCATTTGTTGTTTTGTAATACGAGTAATTTAAAGTTACATTTGAAATATTTTTGTTAATAATATATCAAATTTATGTTAATTTATAACCTATAACAAAATATACGTACATAAATTTTCATTTTTTAATTTTTTTTATGAATGCAAAATTTCACGGTTAAAAATAAATAATTGTGAATTTTCTAGTTTTTTAATAAATAAATTTTTAATTATGTTTTTTTATCTTTTACCCATATCCAACAGAATTACCCATCACTTTCACTAATGTCTGTATCTATTATTTTTTTTTCTTTTTTTTTAATCTTCTTTTATTCAAACATTTTTTTTTATCTCTACTCATAACTATTTCTTTTAGACATTTTTTTCAACAAAATTTGAAAATTCGAGATAAATTTTTACGACTTCTATTACAACTTTTATTTAACGATATATTTAAATAAAAATAAATAAGTTTTTCTCGACACAAAATATTTACAAATTATATTTATTTTTAATGTTATCGGTAAATAAATAATAAAATAATATTAATATTAATATTAATAATTTTTAACGAAAGTTAAGTAAAAGTTATCAGTAAATAAATAATAAAAATGAAAATATTATCAATGATTTTCAACAAAAGTAATATAATAACATATAAAAATATATCTAAGGAAAAAAAATTACAGTTTCTTTTTGGATGAGAAAAAAATATAATTTATATTTTTTTTCTTTACCCCTTTAATTACATTTGTTGATATATAAACTAATAAATAAATAAATATCGTTTTTTTTTAATTTTCAATTACACGTTTATTTTAGTTTTTCTCTTTTTACATTTTTTTCTCTGTTTTCTTCCCTTCTTCGAACTCTGTGCGTGTATTTATTTATTTCAAATTATTTATAATTATAAAAAAATTATTTATACTTTACATATATTAAATTTTGTAAATTAAAATAAAATACATAATAAAAGTTCGGATAGTATTATCTATAAAATATACAATTGAGTTGGAGAGATCATAAAGGCAATTTTTGCCTTATGTCACCTCCACAAAATTACAAAAAATAAAACAAAATAATATTTTTTTACCAATTGGACTATTTAAAAAAATTGGATACGTGTCAAAAAAAAATCCTTTAATTTCTATATTAGGCGTGGATATTATTCTTCTCTCAAGCTTCATTTTTTTTTCTCATAATCTTATTCCACCCATTCATCTTCTCCTCTGTGGCTTCTTCTTTTTCCTCATGCTCTAATTTCACGTTCTTTCTTTCTCTTTTTGTGTTGCACTTCATTATAAAGGGCTTTTGTTGTAGTTTTTTCTTTTGTATTACTATTTGAAACTGCAAAATCTGACATCAATTTCAATATTTATGTTTTGACAAAAGCATATTCAATGTCTTGGTAATAATTGGAAGGTCAAATGCATGCTTAGGGTTTACACGTGGTAGGCCAAAATTTGCTAAATTTTGTAA